ATATATATATATACTTTTTTAATATTTACGTCCTAAACTCTAATTAAAGCATCATTTTTTTTACTATTATTTACAATTTTATCAAGAACTTAATATCGATTTTCTTTAAATATAATTAATTTTATAATACAACTTTAATTATTTTAATAAATATATATAGCACGAAGTTGTTCTAATTAGAAATTTTTAGTGCATATAAATTTAAAATTAAAGAGAATATATTCTCGATTATAGCGTGACACGTTATAATTTATAATATGCATAATAATTTGATTTATTCTATTAAAGTTATATTTTAAGCTTAAAGTAAATTTTCTGTGTTAAGGACTTAGTGGTAAAGTGCAGGTGTAATATTTTGCTTAATAAAATTTTGTAGTTGAAATCTTGTTATATATAAACTTATATCGTGTGTGTCCTGTGTGTGCACTTGTAGGTATATATATATATATATATATATATATATATATTTTATTTCCTGGTTTATTAAATCCGATCTGAGAAAAGTAAAGTTGTAAAAAATTCACTTTGGCATGTTTAGAATGATCCATTCTTCTCTTAAGAAATTCATTCATGCATTTATCATATAATTCCTATTCTATTTTCTGTCTTTCTTTTATTTTTTTATATCTTCTTAAAGTTTCTTAGGGAATTATTCTGCTTTATTTTCAAATTCCTAACTCAAAAAATAAAACTTTTAGAAGAATTGTAGTGATCATATTTCTATATTTCCCATAAATTCTGATGACTTGCACCCACTTCTAACTTTCCGTTCGATTTTTTTTTAATCTTATAAATAATATAATTAATAAATATTTATCGAATTATTACTAATTTTAATTAAGTTAACTACTATTTAAGGGGGGAAAAATAAACATTACTAACTTCATCGTATTATTAATACTTCTAAAACATGTGGCTTTTTGAAAGAACTTTTCTTAATGAGTAATTAATGACTGTATAATTTAAAATTAGACAAAAATTTCAAAAATAAAAAGCGAATGGTAAAATTTATTATGGTAATGAAGCTAAATCAAGTGGTTAAGAATTAAATTTTCTGACGCTTTTAAATATGAATTAAGAGCATATCCCTAGTGAAAGAAAAACTAAATAACTTACAACTAAATAAGCCTGAAGGTTTATGTTTATAAGTTGTATCCTTTAATGAATTTAATATAAGTAAATGTATGAGTCTTATTTTCCTTTTGAAAATATATAAAATAATTACATTAAAAGTTTTAAAAATAAATTACTTCTTTTATTACAGTTTAGCAAATTAACCTTTAAAATATACGTTTCCATTATCTTCATTAAATAACTCATAGAAGCTACTTTTAAATAATAACTAAGTTATATAATTAATTTAGTTTATAATCAATGTTTTTAATATAAATTTTTTTTTTAATTCTTAGCTGTCTCAGTCCAACGAGACTCATGTATACTTGTATAAGACGGACCTCAACACGGAGGGATCGTATGGTTGTGAAGTTTCGACAGAAGCTCCTTCTTTTCGTACAGTAAAAGCAGACAGAGACCTCAGGGTGTACGGTGAGTTAATTGGAAATGGATTTACTTAGCTTGAACATTACTTTAGCAGACATCTTGCTGTCAATAATTAGCGGTAATGACTTTTTTTTTCGTAAAATTGCAGTGAAAAAACTCCAATAATATATCGATAGACAGCGACTTCTTTCTCCTTTTCTGCTTTTAAGTTTAAGGGGAAAAAAATGGATATCTCATTTATAATAAAATCTAACATTATAGGATTCCAACATTACCCTATCATTTGTTTTTATTTTAAATTGAAGGAAAGTTAATCATTGTACAATTTATTAAAATTGAATAATTCAAAAACAATTATTAAAAATTCTTTATTTTGTTTTCTTATAACAATTTTCATACTTTTATTCTTAACGTAAATTTAAAGTGTTTTTAATTTTTAGATTAAAATTTCGAATAAATTTTTACTTGCAATAAAAAAAAAAATTCTGCATTATATTTTTGCATATCTGTTCTATATTCATTTATAAAGAGAAAGAAAAGTTTTAATCTTTGCTTATATTTTATTAAATTATAAAAACTTTATCAAATTTAATATACTTTAGCGAAATCTTTTATCTATTTTTTTTTTCTATCCAAATTCAAAATTTAAAACTTTCGAGAGATATTTTTCTGACATAATTTTAAAGAAAAATTTCAATTTTTCTATAATAGAACATTTTAATCTGTATACCATTTATAAGTATGATTTTGATTGTAATTTTCTTTAATGGAAATTCAACGATTTTTTAAAGTCATTTTGTAGTTTTTTAAATCGACTTTTATCATTTTTTTGTAATTCTAGTTATTAAACAAGTTTAATATTTATATAAAAAACTCCTTTATCTTTTTAATTCTAATAAAATTCGGACTCACAATTATGTTTATCTACATTATTACATGATTTTATTAATGCGAATAAACACGCATTTCGAGGATCAAATTTGTATTTTCTGTTTATATTATTCAATTGTGCGATATATTTACTTATTTATTTATTTATAAATACTTTATTTTTATGTAAATTCTTCTTTCGGTTGGCTTAAATTTAAATTTTTAAAATAAATAATCACGTGATAAGTTTAAGGTAAATTCGTTTTGTTAAATCTTATTATAACTAAAATATAAATCCTGTTACAGGAGGAATTAATTTTTTCTCCATTGTTACAAACAGTATCATATAGAACGTGAATAAGTTGATACTAGAAAGTATAAACATAGGAACTAGACGAATAAACTTAATGACTCAATGTAAGTTTTCAAAAAATTCTTTATATAAATTCAAAGATGCTCATTCTTATGTACGGTATAGTACGTATTTTCTATATAGTATATCTGGAAATACATAAAACATGCGTATCATTAATGTTACATAAATAATTTTTAGAAAACTTCCATTGAAAATTTCCAACATACTATAATGTAAAATGAAACAAGTATCATAAAAAGCAAATTCGAATACATATTGTCCCACTGTGTTTTTCACAGTGGGACAATATGTATTCGAATGATGTATTCAGTGTTCAGTGGTTTTATACACTGGTGGTCAGTGTATAAAACCACTGAACACTGATAGTTAGTCGCTGGTTCGCGCTTCATCAATGCCGCGTGGAGTTTTCCGGATTTTTTCACGTGTCTAACACCTAAATAGGGACCAGTTTTCTATAAAAGTCCTCCTGGGACGCACTGTACTTTGGCAGATCGCCCAAGTGTTTCGTTGCATTACGCCATCAATCCAAGCAATCAAATATATATTCAAGTTTAATTTCTGAAATATCAGTGCATTGCTAGTCTTCACGAAGAAATGTTACGAATTTTACGCAAAGTAGCACTTTTTTTTTCCTTTTTCTTGATCTCGAACCATCCGATGCATTTTTAAAGTTTTAATTTCAGCTTTTTTGAGGATGTTATCAACAGCTCCTCACTCACTTTCACACTTTGTTCATCACTTTTAAGCGATAAAGAACTATAGACGAAGTAAGGCGTGAAAGAAAGGAATAAACTCGTAGTGCTGTCATTACTGTGCGATTTCACACACAATTGGCACACTTCGGTGACGTGACACTTAAACAGAGACTAACAGATAATCGAGTGATGGATAAAAGAAGTTTTACTGTAGTGAAATAATTAATATAAAGCATAAATAATAGCTAGTTAAATCTTCCTTGTAGGCTCAACGTATTTTTAAAAATAATTAAACAATTTATATTTAACTGAGATTTACAAATATTTAAAGTATATAGAAGTCATTCTTAAATTTAAAAGATGATATATCTAAGGTACTTTACTTGTTGAGAGTTCTCTTGTATCGTGCAAAGCTGGACAAATACAAAAGAAGTGGAAACTAGAGATAAATTCAAAATGAAATTTCCAAACAGAATCAGATTTATATACACAATAGCATTATGAAATAATCAGTATATTTTCAGTATAATATGGCATGATCAAATTAATATCTTAATTAACACTAATTTTATTAAAAAATAATCATTTTAATATTACAAAATTTAACTCATTTACTTCTGAATTTATTGGTTTATATCATCAATCTTAACATATAAATGCGAATTTCATTTATATCTTCTATTAAGTATTGATATGATTTAAAAACTTCCACTTCTTTATAAAAGAAAATCTATTTTTATCGCTAACAAAAGAATAAATGGGATCAATAATTCCCTTTTCTAATTTCAATGATTTTTATTTTGAAATTTCATTTTTTTTTATATTTGTTTTGTCACGAAATCACGTAAGTTGTTCCCGTTTTCAGATTTATTGGATTTCTGTGAAAATTTGAAAATTGCATTCTTAACAGAATAACTTATTCGTAGAAGTAGAGTTAAAACAGTATTAAGGTAGCTTAGGCTTGTTTAAAATATTAGTTCACTTAAAATTTCGTGAAAGTGATAATAAAGTTCGTGTTACATAAATCATAAAAGATACCGACATTTATGTCTCAACGGAGGCATAGAAAGGCCTTCTCATAAAGTTCGTAAAACCGTCTTTTACTATCCTTCTACCTAAGAAGTTACACTTTACCTTTCATTATTACTCGTAAAACATTATAAAACTGACTTATTATAAGTTTATTATGTTAATTTTTATAAGAAACTCCGCCCAAAATCTCTGCCTTATCTTTTCTTCTTAATATAAGTTGTCTTTAATTAGAAGTTCCATCATATAATTTATTTTGATAAGGTATCTTATGGGTGGTTCTCATTTCGTACAGCTAATGTTAATGTTTTGCAGTGTTTAGTTGATCCACCCAATTTTTATATGCACCATTATCGATTTTCTTTGGAAAATTTTAAAATTCAACTCCTTAAAGTTCATGAAATCATTTTCAGTCAAACGTGATAATTGATTAAGTGCAATTAAATTGTTAAAGCGGAATTTTTTTATGATTACATTAAATATACATTAAATATACAGTATCAACAATTAACGATTTCTAAGGTAAAACTCGTATTTAAATAGAATTACAAAACTGTTCTCGCAGATCTTAAAATTATTTATATATTAAATCAGAGATAAAATTAGAAAGAGAATATTTTAAAGCTCATCTTCTTTCCTTCTTTTCTACGTTGTCTGCAGAATTTTCTTCTGTACTCGTGCTTAATGTACTGTTACGGTATTAAAGTACAGTTTTATCATTCAAAGACAATATATACATTTTTTCGTTCTGTCTTTTTCAGTATATCACGCGAGAATCCATTTTACTAGATATTTCGAGAAAAGTTTTCAGTACACGTTCACATCGTGCACTGTTATTATTCCGTAAAATATGGACTTTTCAGAAGAGTACACGACCCATTGGATGGAGCTCACGTAAATCCCTCTACAGCCAATCCTTGCGTGCTACATACAACCTTATTTGTGGCTAGATAACCTGACAAAAGTACTACATTGCTACATAAACACAAAGTTCGCATGTGTTATATAGATCGAAAATGTCAACTGCCTCTTGACGAAAAGAATTTAGGTCACTCTCGTCCTTTTTTATAAAAATATCACTCACATGAGGGGACTCGGATCTTATCGCAAGGGACAAAGCGTGATTTGATAGTCGGAAAATTGGATAGGAAAGAAGAATGCATATTTTACACTATATTCTACCTTCCTTTAAAGTATAAAAATTCTCCGAAAATTATAGCTGACGTGGTTCCTCGACGTATTTTTTGAGAAATGAAAAAAGAGGGATATATTTTAACAATCGGTAATTTTATCCAACTCCTTTCAAATTTTCTCCAAAGAAAATGACAATGCAATTTTATACAATTTAATGTCTCCTAATGTCTTCTATTGATCATTTTATTAACTATCCTAACTAAATATTTCAAAATATATATATTTCATCACAAATAAAAATAATATTTGAAATATAATAGAATTAGATATGAATTTTATTTTATTCCGATTTTTGTTTAAAATGTTTCTAAAAGTCACGGTATGAAAAACAAGACTAAATTATGGTCAGTGGAATAATAAAATATAAATAATTTTTATTAATTATACAAGAGAAAATAATAATGTCTACACTGTTGCACGAAAGATATGATCATTAAATTGCACGCTACTTTGATACATGCCTTTATATTCGTATTATTCAAAGGGTGAAAGTATTCCAAACATAATTTTCTTTATTTTATTTGCCAATGACTTTTATTTAAATTGTATGCAAAGATATGAACATTTTGCAGTTGTACACAATCAAATCCATAAACTCGATTAAAATTCTCGAAATCAATATGAAAAAAAGTAGAAACGAGTCACAAATTCTATTTAATTTATAATATTTCGAAATATCAATTGTTATAACCCTTGAAATAACAATTTAATTTGCATGAAATTATTTAAAATTAATTTAAACAGATTTCAGTGTAGTGATGATGTTAAACTATTCCATTTAAACTCTCTTTTTAACATCTTTCAACTCCTCAAATTTAATAAATTAAATATATAATTTATGCTTAAATATAAATTTACAAGCTACTACTGCATAAATTTGC